TGGAGAGCTGCACCTTCAGTCCTCAGACATGATGCCAGAAAACTGTACTTAGCACAGTTAGTGTTACCAAGAGGACAGGAAAGGACACAAACGATGCATAGTGTTATTTTGGCAGAGCAGACCCACTGTTGTTTGATTGTCACCTGCTCTTTGGTCAACGCCAAGCAGAGCAAATGCACAGGTGATGGCCCAAAAGATGAAAATGTTAAAAGCCTGTTTACCTCTGTCAAAAATACCAAGGCCTGTTGTTTAGAAATTTCACTTAAGAGCTTGGTATAGCAACTGTGGAGGGTATGGAGCTAATATTTGCATAAACAGCGACATGAAAGTTTATCTTCTTTCTCATTTCTCCACTCATTAATCACACCCTCGTTAGTTTCAGCAGTGACAGCCTGAAGTTAACAGAAAGGGAGCAGTGGTCTGAATGCCACTATAAAAACATCCCTCAGAAGCTAGTTCAAAGCAATATTTCATGTACAGACTTCCACTCCATGTGGATATAAATAAATAAGAATTTGAGGAAAGGGCAGAAGACAGCTTTTAATCTTTTGACTTTGATTCTTGATGACGGAAGCGATGTGCAGCGTCTGACTGTGAGCTGACATTAATGGAGCTGGAGCGGCCTCACCGCGACCGCACATCTCAAGGGCAGTTAGAGGGCCACTTCAAAAGAATGACCTGCTAATTAGAGATGGTTGTTAGTGACAAAAATTGTTGAGCCAAAACATATCTTCAAGCTATTATGAAACTGCAAAATGAGCTGTAAATGTGCACTGTGACAGTTTTATAAAGAGCCATAAAATAACTCCTGAGCTCAACTATAAACACATTTCCATTTAAATGTAGTGGAAACATGTGAACACTGCACATTATATTATATTATAAACTGACATAAATTCTCCAGTCGGTGTCATTGAACCATTACAGAAGATGAAAAAGGCGACTTAATCGCCTGGGAAAATTTAAATGATATCTGTTTCCACTGACCAGTCTCGATGCTGTTTTTATTGATACACCAATTTTTCCACCTCAGTCGAGCACCAGTGCATCTCCCTTTATCAGCCAACAAGATGGTGATATTCTGGTTTTGTGCTGATAATCCCAGAGTGTTAATATTCAGAGCAGTGAGCTGCTGGGTCAGGAGGACAGGGCGTCCCTGCTGTGAACAGCCTCAGTATCCTGCTCTGCACACATGACCATGGTCCTGAGATTCTGTGGGGTTTATTAAGAGCAAAATCCCATTAGCATTACATTGCAAAGTGAGCACACCAAGATACTGGTTTCAGGTCTCCTCGTGGCTCCACGCAGATTGCGTGTTTAACATTTTTTAGTAATATTTAGATGTTCTCACTCAACAGAAAATGCACATAAAACCAGGTGGATGTAAGGACTTAACAGTGGCATTTTATTTAGTGTAATAATGATCAAAAGAAGGTCTACTTCTGTCAGAGGGGTGGTATCTCCACACCAAAAGCCCCTGCTTCAATGCAGGGTTACTTCAGTTTGTCACTCCCTCTACAGTGAAAAGCTCACTGTGGGAGTCTGCTGTAATTTACTGTTTATAGTCAGAGGACGCTGGGTAATCTGCTGGCTGTTGTCCTTGTGATTCAGGCTGCAGCCAAGAGAGGACCTTTTTTTTATCATTTTAACTGGTCTCGGTTTAAAATTGTGACATGAGCACAAGCTAGAATATTTATGTTATCGCACTTGTTCGGTTTACGGGTCGACAAAAAGAAGATATCCCTGGTGGACAGCAAGGGTGGTGATGGAAATAAATCTCTGCAGCTCTGCTGTCAAGGAACTGTTTAGAAAGAAAAATAAGAACCAAAGAAGCAAGAGCAACATCAGGGAGCAATTTATGTTCTGTGCATGTGTTGTGTCTGCTACACGTGGAGCTCTCGGCCGTTGGAGTGCTGTACTGTGGTCTGTGTGGGGGGCGGCCGCTACTGGTTAAAACACACACACACACACACCGCATGGCAGATGTTTGCTGTGGTCGATTCAAACTCCTGCCTTGAGCACATGTTCAACAGGAACAGCAGCTGTGGGGAGGGCAGGAGCATTTGAAAACAAGAATTAGATGATAAAATTAACATCACTCTCATGTGTGTATGGGACATACAATGCTTGAACCTGCAGTTTAGCTTAGGAAACAGCTAGCCTGGTTCAGATCCAGGCCTAACCAAGTCCACCCACCAGCATCTCTAAAACTCAATACTTAACATGCTGTATATATACATGCATACCTGAAATACCTGAAGCTGGTACTGGTTTAGTTTGTGGCGTTTTTCTTGATCATGACTAGATTCTAGTGTAGCAGGTTTACACACAACCCTTTTACACGACAACAACAAACTACTGCTGCAACGCGCAGCAACTGCCCACAGAGACTGAAATTGAAATTGTCTCGCTGCCCACAGAGACTGAAATTGAAATTGTGGTTATCTGAAGAGACAGGGCGGTATCTGGCTCCTGTGATTCTGACTCCTGAAGGGATTAAAAACACTGGACATCAGCCCAGGGCGGATTCATGGTGCGCCATGGCATTCTGGGAGATTGCTGCTATAGCCTTGATTGAAGGAGTCCCAGCTGTTCTGTGGATTTTTTTTCTTGTCTGTTGATAATCAAAACATGTGTGAATGAGGACAATCATGAGGAAGAAATCTCTCCTGGACCACTAACACTGCACCTTTACATGAAAAACATAATAAAGTGCTCTCTGGTTTGTGTCACCTGCAGACAGATAATGTGTGTGTTGGCTAAAGGCTTGATCAAATCAAATTTAAGCCTTTTAAGAAAGTTTAAATATCATTTCAAACACTATTTCTGTGTCTCTCTGGTATCTGAACTTATGAAATCATTGTCATTTTCTTCACACTACAAAAGTAGTTATACCTCTACACCTTTTTAAATTTGTTCTCGTACTTTTCTATTGGTGAATACAGTCTTAATAGTTACACTCAATTTCATTCTTATTAACTCCTTACAATTTAAAAGTTTTTTTAAGGTAAGGTCACGGCAGGATTTGTGTGTGTAGGTGTGTGTGCCTTTGTATTACTTACATTATGGGGACCAAAACCTGTTAACACACTCACATTGTGGGGACTCAGTCATCCTTGTGGAGATCAGCCTCTGGTTAGGATAAGACTACAGGAAATGAATGTAAGTCAATGCAAAGTCCCCACAAGGAATGAAAACACAGCGTGTGTGTGTGTGAATTACTTATCTTGGGATCGCTGAACAATGAAAACAGTGATAAATAGCTGCAATTCATATTTTACATTCACAGAGTTAGGCCTTGCTTTGACAGTAGCATGTGAGATAACACAGTATTATTACAGCTGCTGGTTGTGATCCTCTGCTGTAGTTGCTGCCCCCCGCCAAATTGGGCTGCTAGTGTTAAGATACAGTAACTAGTGGAGGCTCAGCCACTTCTTTACAGTCGTCTGTGATTGTGGCTGTAACCTGTGGTTTGGTTGTTGTAATTGCAAGGCTGTGACACATTTGTATTTAATGGGTGGTACATATGCAGGGGCTGTGTAGAGTGAGTCGATATGCAAATGCTGGCTGAAGCTAAGCTAAACACCTGGCATGTGACTGTGCTGGCAACACATAGCTGTAGAGGGGTTCTCTGGCCAGCTGCAGCTGTGGTCACATCCAGCAGCTATATACTGTCACATCATCTCACCACTCCTCTCTGCAGAGCATTAGTCTAAAAGTAGTCTACAATACCTCTGAGGGGCAACCCAACACACTAATGGCATATTCACATTGTTGCACAAAACAACATTTGCACGCATCTCCTCCAATGGGGTGGTCTGTTATGGTGGGTGATGTGTGGGCGTATTGCTTGTTTTATAACTATGATTTTTACATACAAAGGAGGTTTAACTGTAAATAATTTTACAACAAAAATCTACAATTAAATTCAAACTATAACTTCATAGCTTTAATCAGTGCACTTCAGCTCACCCTCTTTAACCAGGCAGCTTTCACCACTTTTTATACACCACAAGAGATGATAAACATCAACGGCATTGACTCAGCAGTATGTCTGATGTCACTCACACCTTTCTTTCACACCTGCAGCTGCAGCTGCAAATAGACAGTCACTGTAAACCATGGGTTTGAAATGTGCAACTGAATCACTCACAGCTACACGCTTCACCCAGTACATGTTGTGCTTGGCTTCTACTCATGCTGCATTCATGGATTTGAGAATCGTCGGGGAAACCGACTATCCTGTTAGAAGTGCCCATGAGCATGTTCATTTCCAGCCATTTAACGTTTGATCTTGGGTACCTCTAGATTAGCTTCACACCCATCACATCTCCAAATAGCCTATAATTATTTCAAAATGATAAAACACGAAAGTCTCCTCCTGAAAACGAGAGGATAGATTGTAGATGTGCACAGCTTCTGTAATTTCAGTAGTTAACCACACATGGCTAAATAAATAAATAAAATGTAAGTATTTGAATCAACATGCAGATATGAATATAGCTGAACCATCAGCAAGTTATTGTATTTATTTAATGTATTTAATACTAGTTTTGTTGTTCACTACTTCCAAACACTAGATTCTAAATCTCCTATTGTGTTCAAGTAGGTTGAGATCTGGTGACTGAGAAGGCTATAGCATAATGATTTCCATACTCATCAAACTACTGAGTGAGCCCTCGTGCCTCATAGATAGGCTATACAGTGTTTGTATGTTTTGTGTTGATACAAGCTGGATGTGTTTTAAGAATCCTACAGTACGTGAAGGAGACACCGTTGCAGAGAGCGCACCGCCGCTCTGCGCTCTGATTGGACGGTGGAGGTGGTGGGCGGGTTCGCCGGCGGAGTGCGGAGACAATACAAAGCGATTCCAGAGAGTCAACGGTGAACGGATTGTGTGACAGGCAGTGGCGGTGCTACCGAGGCTCCAGCTCCGGACTCAGCTTCAGTCTGCAGTGTTATTAAAAAAAAAAAAAAAAAAAAAAATTAAAGGGTCTTGGTTGCTCGTTAAAGCGTCAAGTGTTGTCTGGACGGATTGACACCCGTACTGCATGCATCGCATTTTGAAAGGTAAGACCTGGCGTTTCATCATTCCTCTGTCGGTCCAAACCAATTAACAGCTAATTAAATGCTAGGTTGTGTCTTCGGGTGTGTTTTTATGCATTTAAAGCTCAGATTCTGCCTTAGAGTGACATCACTTTACAGACTAATGTTTCATTGCCTGTCCTGTGTCTTTGTGCTGCTCCGTTGCAAAGCATCTCAGCAGACTAATGTGAAGCATTGTTTGGCTCCTGAGGGCTTTACGCAGTTAGTTTAATTTCTTTTTTCTTTTTTTTAAGATATAGCCACATTTTGAATGGTTATTTACAGTGAAAAGTTACAGATGCACCATGTGACAAAACACTGAGCAGAACAATAGAGCTGCTGTAATCGGTGAACCACTGTTGTTTGCATTTCGTAATGATCACACACTGTACTTTTCTATACAGCTGGTGGTTCCTGTCCACAGGAACGCTCAGGTGCACGCTCCAGCACTGCCTGGCAGTGGATATAAAGCATGCTTTGTGTCTGCAGAGCTGTCACAGTTCGAGTCTTTATGCTGCAGTTTGTGGCAGGGTTTTATGACTTCCAGACACTGGCACTGACATCACCTCTACTCCTTGTGAAGAACTGATGTACTGCCACATCACTGAATTCAGATTTATTTATTTGGTAATATTAGGGACTCTCTCCTGGATGCAAGTGGCACAAAAAGCATTTAGAATCAGAGGTGTTTAGTCAATTAATTGCTTCATCCAATAACATGAATAATTGTAATGATTGCTTAGTTGTTTCAGTCATTTATCAAGCAAGACATTTTTTTTTTCCTAATAATTTTCCAGCTTCAGCTTCTCTTCTGAATATCTTTAGGTTCTGGTTTGTGTTTGAACAAAACAAGAAAATTCTCTCATTTGAGAAGCTGGAACCAGAGAATATTTGGTGATTTTGCATGTGACACTTATGCACACGATAAAGCAATTAATTGATCAACAAAAATAATTATGATCTACAAATATTGATAGATGAATAGTAGTTTGTTTGCTTATGAAGTATAAACCCCTCTGTTTTTAGATTCTCCAATGCAAATTAGTTTAATTTCATTGCCCCAGTTCACCATAAATTGAATGTTTTTAGATTTTGTACTTGTTTGAACAAGGTATTTAAACATGTCACCTTGGGTTCTGGGACGCTGTGAAGGGTATTTTTTTTACTGGGGCTGCAACTAGCAAATATTTTTATTACTGATTACTCTGCCAATTACTTCCTTGATCAACTGTTAATTTTTTAAAATGTAAAGCAAACAAAAACTGTTTATAGATGTTATTAGAACCCAAGGTGGTGGCTTCGGATGTTTTATTTGCATGGCCAAAAAAATAAACAAAAGCAAAGTTATTAATTTACTGAGTGTAAGCTGTAACAATTACTCAATTAATGGACTAGTTGATCAACAGAAAAATCATTTTTTCAAGAAAAATTGTTTAAAAAGAAAAGCAGAGCATGCTGTGCTTTAACTTCTCAAATGACAACATCTTCTAACTTTCACTGTCAGAATTCAGTGTGAAGTGAATATCTTGAGGCTTTTGGACTTTGTTTGAACAAAACAAGACATTTGAAGACTTCGTTTGTGTCTATGGGAATTATTACGAGACTTTTTCACTCTTTTCTGACACTTTATAAAGTTTCAAAGGGAAAAGATACTATCATTGCAACACTGCAGCTTTTTGTTGTGAGGCATTCAGATGTCTCTCTGGTTTGCTGCTTGCATTGATGGATATGTACACACATCTGCCCAGGAGACAAGGGAAAGAAGATTGAAAAAAGAAAAGGAGACGGATTAAAGCGGACAAAGGGGGTAATGTTAACTTACTGTAGTGAGGGGTTCAAAAGAGCAGCAGAAGTGGGTTTGCATTAAAGAAGAGTGTCCAGTGCGCTGTCGAGCGTGCAGGCACACAGATGCTGTATGCCGAGCCGGTTAAACACTGGCCGCCTTTATGTGCTCACTGAGCACTGTGGGAGCTGAGCCCCTCTGAAGGGCCGAGCATGAGGCCGTCACACAGGGAGGTACATCCACACATACAGTGGAAGTGTGAAGGCCAAAGCTGCTGTGGCGGCTGGTGAGATGGAGCTGCAGACATTTCTAGAGGAAAGAGCTGCTCATGGGGCAGAGATCACCCCAGTGGCTGTGTTATATCAGTGAGCAGAGCCAGAACATGTTTCACACGCGATATAGCTTGTTGGCTCCGACTTGAATAGGTAAGAACGACAGACTACCAAGATTGGTACAGGAGTGAAAACTTGTCAACAAGGGCAATAAAAGTCAGCATTTTGTGTTGGTGAAAGGGTTGGGCTACTTTTTCTTTGACTGGACAGGCTATGGTTGTTTTGTTCTACCTGAGAGAATCAGTTGTCAGAATATTTGCTGATTATTTTTCTGTCAGTTGACTAATTATGTCAGCTCCCGTGAAGCTTCCGATTTCCAGAATGGAAAAAAAAGTAGATAGTGTTTACAAGGCTCTTTCCTTCTATTTAAGTAGACTATAGCAGCTCCACTGGCACAGTAGGTCAGCAGTTCAGGTAATTAAACAAGCTGCCAGACTGGCACAAGTCAAATTCCAGCTCAGTGAACTTTACTTGCTTGTAATTTTGTACTGCAGCACCAGTTCATTTTCACTTTATTTAAAAAGAAAATGTCACAGAATATTTCTTTTCTGTTGCAAAATGTGCAGTACAGCATTAGGATTTCCCAGTAAATGGCACTGACGAGATGACAGGTATTTATTTTCATCAATACCCCACAATCTGCTGTCCACTTTCTAACCAAGTAAGACATGCACAAAGATAAATCAACAGCTTTGATTGTCATCATGTTGTGGAGTCTTGTTTGGGTGTTTTCAGAGAGAGGATGCAGATGCTGCTGGGTAGGACGAGTTGGATTCACACCCATGCAGCCACACTTCAAAATGCATGAATGGTTTTTTTGGGTGCTGAGCAGTTTGAGGAAATCATGCAATTTGACCCTTATTTTTGTACACATGCAGGTCACATTCACTTAAATCTGTGCATGTGTGATGGTTTCTCAGTGGTGTTTGCATGGGAGCTGGATACATGTAACCTACAAACATGAATGTGAACCATCAGCACAAAAAAATTGGAATTGAGGTTTTCTTTTTTCTTTTTTTTTTTTCTTTTTAGCATGTGAACATTCTAACATGAAACAAAAGGTGTCTACAGCTGAGGCTGATGGGAATATGATTAGATTAACAGCAAAAAAACAAAAGTTAAGCATTTCAAATGGTGGACAAATGACCGTTTTCTCCTGTTTCCGGAAGCCTTTGGAGGTCTAGAAGACTTTAGTTTGGAGGCATGGTTTATGGTGGTAGCATTTTTCAGTTGGGTAACGTATTGATTTTGCTTTACAAATGATTACTAAGATGTTGATGTTTTACAAGTCGATGTTGACCTGAACACCACTGAGGTGGCAGAGGCAGTTTTCCTGCAGTGCTTAATGTGTTTGTGCTTCCATGTGTAGCAAACAAGAGGAAGACAATTACTCATGCACGTTTGTCATGTTTACTGACAGACATATGTATTATTCATATCTAGTAGTGCATTCACTGATGTTTTCTGGAGTCCAAAACATTCACGAGACAGGTTCTCTCTTTGCCTTTGGTGAGTTCTGGGCAATGAGTTTGTGAGTAGCAGAAAGTCTGTGGATCTGAGGGACGAAGAACAAATCTTGCCACCTTATCTGCAATTGATCTATAAACATCTATCTTAAAACGAACTGGAAGTAGCTGCAGGGACCACATGAACTAACTAATCAACTGTCTTTGTTCCCATTAAAAACAGAGCACATTGTTCTGTACGAGCTGTTGATTTACTGGCTTTCTGGGGATACCTGAGAGCATTGCAGCTCAGTAGAGGAAGTTTACTTGAAATATGAGCTTGCACAAGCTTCTGTGTTTGAAGAGGAGAAAGAAATGTACTGACCTTTTGGTGGTGTTCATTTTCTGTGACCAAAAAATTGGACCACAGTCAGGCACATATACATTTCTTGCCTGCCTGCCTACTTAGAAATGCCATCAGTTTGCATATGAGGTGCACTGGACATTTTTGAAGGCAGATTTTATGCAAATAAGATAGTTTTGTGCAATTGACTTTTTTTGGTCTGTGCCCAAAAGTTCTCATCACATGGTAGTGCTGGGTTGATGGGACAGAAAGACAATATAATAAAGATACTGTAGCTTTAATATTACTAAGAGGACTCCATGCAGACATCCATGTGAAGGCCAAATATCTGTGTCCACATGGATGGTCTGCTCAACAAAAAGCCCTGACTGCATATGTACCACAGGGGTAGGAAAACATGGGCATAGGTGGACATAAGGTAGACCCTCAGTTTAAAGTATGAATGCATGCCTGTCTGTGTCTGCACAAGGGTATGTGGAAAGCATAGAAGGTCATTAACACTGTGGGCTTATCAGCTCTTTGCTGATGCCGCTTTCCATCAACAAGCGTTCCCACAGTCAGATGCAGTACTGGTGCAATAGGCAGGTAACATTAGTGGCGAGGTATAGACGGGAAGAAAAGCAGCAATGACGCAAGGCACGCTGGCTTAGTTCCAGCTGTGCTTTGATTACAGATGAGCATTTTGCTAAAAAGACAGCAGGGCGGTCTCATCCTCGTCCGGGAGGTAAATGGGGCTTGGCACTCCTTGAGGCCCTCTGGGGAGCAGCTGTGGCACTATTGCACTGAGGCTGCTGGGATTGTGTGAGACTTCTTTCATCTCCAGGCCTTTTGATATGGTTCATGAAAACACATGAGCATATACTTACACTCAGGTGGTTACATGGTCGAGAGAAGGAAACTAAGGGTGAAACTCTACATACTATCTCCATATCCTAAGGCTTTATTGGTCAGGCTGAAATTTTTAAAAAGGGCAGCAATTAACATGATGTCACACTCATCACAGTTGGCCAACATATTAAAGTGCCCGTGGCTGCTCATTTCCAATCAATTAATGTTTAATCTTAGGTACCTCTAGATTGGCTTTACACCCATCATAACAAGCTTTAGGTCATGTTTAAGATGATAATTCATAGGTTTAACATTGTAGTTAAGTCAGAAAACTAGGAAAAGAATGCCATGGGCTCTTTAAGGATGCCAGTAATTAAACTGGTATTGATTAATTGTTGATCATTTAATAGACAAACTAGAATTACAGCTACGTGGTCGTATGCCCCCGTAAGCCAGTCAAATTCATGGGAATTGGGACAAATATGAGGTCATTGTGACCTTGACCTTTGACCACCAAAATCGAATAATTTCATCTTTGAATTGAAATGGACGCTTGTACGAAGTTTGACGAAATGACCTCAAGGCCTTTCTTAGATATCTCATTCACAAGAATGGCCTGACCTGATGGACAGTTGCCAATCTGCTCCTTTAAATAAAAAAAAAACTAGATTTTTCTGAGTGTTTTACTGTGAACAGCGAGCCTTATACGTGACATGACACATCCAGTCCCTTTTAGAAATCCAATCTGAAATGTCTGAGTAGCGACTGTTTACAACCCATTTTCTTTTATTGTGTTGATAATGTGGGCACTCGGACAAAACAGTCATTAACTAAAATCTAATAACAAAACCAGAACATTTAATGGAAATAGTGTGGGCTTGTCTGTTAGCAGGTGCTTTTTTTTCTGTGTGTTTTCAGCTCTAAACACACTCCGGCTGTCTCATCCGCTGAGTGTTTTATTGACCTTGTCACAGGGATGCGGAGTGAACCGGTGATAGACAGCCAGCTGAGTCCTCATTTTTATTTGCTTGTTGTACCTTTTATGCTCAGCACATACTGTTTGTGTCCACAACCATTTTCATCCACCACCGTCACTGCAAGACAGCTCAATTTTTTGCGATTTTAAGCTGTTGTGATTGTTTTGTTTTTAATGTTACCATTTTCACTATGCTCAAATACTCGAGGAGGGGTAAAGTGATGCATTAATCTTAAAGTTCAGTCCTGGGTCATTTGGCTACGCACAAGGTTGGCATGGAAATGGCAAGTATGGTTTAATATTACAAAAGATGCTCATTGAGAGTTATCAGAAACAAAACTGATCTGCTGGTCGAAGATCAGTATCTCTTTACAGTGCAGTCAAAACAAATTGTTTTAAAAAAAAAAAAGTCAGCAATAATTGGCCTTTTTCTATCATGTCATGAGTATCTGCAGTCTTGATTTTGATTATTTTTAACGTGAAGCGGCCACAGTAGGCAATGCTGGGTTTATGTTAGCAGTAACTGAATACATGCAGTGTAAAGAGAGTGAACTGTAAACAGCGAGGCTGTCATCACTATATAATTACATGCTGCGCCGTTTACCTGTGGATGCGTTGTGCTTAGGTAGGCGATTTGAATCCAACATGGGAATACGGCAGACCCCGCCACCAGCAATAAAACTACTATATAAAGCCTGGAGATAATTACTGACAAAACATGGCATCAAAAGTGGGGCTATATAACTGAGTCCTGTGAATCCCTCGTGTGTGTGTGTGTGTGTGTGTGAGAAGGTCATTTAAGTCCAGCACATGAATGGCGGATTTCACCACTAACACTGCAAAATACTATTAGAGCTTGACTGATAAACAGGCTGGCACAATATGGTTTATGAGCTTATCGTAGATGTACGGGTATATACGGTAGCCAATAAATAACAAACTGCTGTACTGAAATGTGAAACAAAAGTGTCTAATTTACACATTTATTGACCAAACAGCAGTGACAACTTCATTTTTCAACTGTGTAATATTATGCTTATTCTGCATCTTCATCACAATTCTGATCTGAGAGCGATGATCCCCATGATGATTGTTTATGGTACAAAGAAGTATGGCAGATGTACCATTACCAGATAAAAAAACAAAAAATTTCCAAATATCACTGTAAGTATTGGCCTTAATGATCCAGTATTGTGCACTGCATCAAAAGAGGATTATAAATGCATTTAATGCAGACAAAAAAAACAAGTGATTTACTAAAAGGTTTTACTAATTGACAGTAAGCACAGATTTACTATCACTGCACGTCTTTCCAGTGGAACATACTGTACATTTTTGTTTGGTTTCATTGTTTTCACACGCGTTACTTGAGTTTTGTGTGTACACACACACTCGCGCCGCAGACGGGAGCTGTCTCTGAGGCGGGCACAGATGGAACTGATGCACAGGACGCGGTTAGCATCCTGTCTCATTCCACACTTTCTCATCCCTGTTAATGAGAGTTAGTATAATTCAGCTGTGCCATCAGGGCTGTGAAATCTCTCCAGTCATTCAGAGACCTCGGTTGCTTGGCTTCTTTTGGTAGCAGAAGGAGGAGGACGACAACCAGACAGATTTGCTGAGAATAGAAGCCAGCAGGTGTGACGGAGTAAAAATATATCTGATCAGAATTAGACCATCGTTAATGCTGGAGGATGCTAGTACATTTACATTTTGTGGCCAGTGAACTGTCTCTGCACCTATTAAATGGACTGCTACACACATTCATGTGTGTCTCAGGATGAATCAACACTTTAGTGATGGCCGGTCTTTTCATCTAGTGCCACCGTCGGACCAAAATTATACTTGCAAATCTTAAAGGGTTGGTGAATGTAATGACGCACCGCTTGTCTTTATAGGATGCAGCTGTGAGTAAATTAGGCTTTAAAATAGTGACCCATTTCAGGAAAACAGAGTCTATAGTCTTGTTAAAAAGACTGTTGGCGGAAAAATGCCACAAAAATCCTGGTCAAAACGCTTTCCACACACTTGGTTTAACTTTTTACACTCTCCTTTTGTTACTCCTCCAAAGTAACGGCAAGAATCACAGGTTACGTAACTGGTCAGTTGGCCTGGACTCCAGCATTCTCCTTTTCCCATGATGGTGATAAGAGTTCATCTGTGTGTACATACAATACAGCAGGTGTGCTCTGTATTCAGTGGGGGCTGTGTGAGAATGTGGACATGGGTGGATATGTTCCTCATAGTGAACCGTGCTTTCCTTCCTGTTCCACAGGCACATCCGTCTCCAGACTAGCCCTTGGCCCCGGCCCTTCCCGCCATAAGAATGACCTCCTCGCCCTATGGCTCCCGCGCCTCCATCGACATCCTGGAGGAACTGCAGCTGATTGCTGCACAGAACCTGGAAAAACTGGACATCCACAAATACTATGAGGTGGTCCGTGAACTGGGCAAGGGCACGTATGGAAAAGTGGACTTGGTCATCCACAAGATCAGAGGTAGTAACTAGGGCTGCAACCAACAATTATTTATCACATATCTGCTTATTATAGGCTCAACTAAGCATTTACTCCAATAAAATGTCAGATAATCATGTGAAATGTTCCCCACAAGGCTAATGGTTCAGCTGCAGAACCACTGCATGCTAGAGGTTTCAAACTTGTGGTCAAGCCAAATGGCTTTTAGAATTAAGTCTAGGCTTTTTTGGATGAAGGAAAAAGACAATTGTAATACATCACCTTTTGTAGGTGGGCAAGACTCCCCTCCCCCCAAAAAACAAACAAACAAAAAAAAAACTGGCCACTAAACGAGTAATTCTGCAGGTTTGCAGCTGGAGGAAATGGGATGTTGTTCTCTTTTGTGGCCCTACTTTGTGATTCAGAGACATCTAGGTCATTTTATATAAAATGCTGAGTGCGGCTTTAAAACGCTACCAGCTCTCTGATATCACAGCAGCAACATCCACTGAGAATAAAAATAAACGTGTAGTGTTTTGCCTTTTGCTCAAACATGTAATTGGTGTGCAGCTAAAGCGCTCTCACTCTTCTCTGAACCTTTTACTATTGAAAATAAATTCTGAAACCTAATCTGAGGAAACGTAGGAGACATTTGTGCAGTAATTTAGCACAAATCACGATAAATTCACTACTCGACTAACAGGAGATCTGTTCAGCCTCTTGATATTGAAAGCCAGTGTTGTCTCTTTTATGGAGAACAAAGCCAACACTAGCCTACTCGGTCTAAAGTGGCTGCAATCTGTCACTGAGATGAATTCTGACCTTTTCCAGCCACTAAAATGCACAGTGGAAGGATGTGTGGAAAAAACTGCATGGACCTGTGCTTTCATCATCTGCTCCTGTACCACCTCCATCCTTTCATAGCCATCAGAGAACCTGTGTAGCTTTAATCATCTGCCCTCAAATGTCAATGGTTGTTCAGTGGAAATGTCAACTGGAAATAAATGGGTTTCGGGTGAAGGAAATGTGTTGCAGCTGTAAATCAAAAGGATTTCAACAGTTTAGAATCAAGGAAGATATTTTTCTTATGGTTCTTTCAGGCTCTTAATTCTATTTTCACTCATTGACAAGCACCACACTCTACTGTAGAGGGTTTTTTGGACAGGTGAGTCAGATAAACTCCGACTGTGAAACATTTAAGAATCCTACACATTGTCAGTCAGTGTACTCACACCGGCTGTGCCGTTTGACAGGCACAGGTCGTTCTTGCAGCCTGAGAGAAATGCCGCTGAAAGGTGCTGCAAACTTTTCTGCACATTTTCAGCGTACTGGCAAAACAAACGTAGTTGGATCTTTATTTTTCATTTGTAATATTCTCGTAAAAACGAGACAAACACAAATCAAATGTATGTAAGGATGTGCTCTCATCAACAAAAACTAATAATGCAGCCATTTAATCACCACTTCGAAGTTTTATTAAAGTACGATTGCCAGTTTTTTTTTTTTTGGAAAGCATATGTTTCATTAAAATATGTTGTTTTCAAGATTGACATGTTAAATGCTGGAAATAAGGCTTAATACAAACTTGTTTAATACAAGTAAAGGTTTTAAACTGTGAAAACAGGGTATTTAAGAATTGGGTTGGAAAAAAGAAAGTGTATATGATGACAGGAGTTACAATTATAAAAACGGTACATTTACATCTACATATATGCAGCACTGGTGCTTTTTGAATGTTTTCTGATGAGGGTCTGAGGACTAAAATGTCACTAAATGAAGTGAGTACAAGTGATTGATAGTATGCAGGATGCTTCTCCAAATTCCTTAAAGAGTGAAATTCAGTTTTTTGATTGAACTTGTCCATGGGCCCGTCAGAGGTCTGTTACCAGATGGTGCTGAGCTTGTAGAGTTTGTTTTCTTTCCTCAAAGGCACCTTGGCAGGACAAAGGTTGGCAAACGTGTAGCCCCTTGAATCTCGAAGTGCGTTGGCTGTGTTCTCTGCAGTATATGCCATCCCTTTGTCCATTCAGTGTGCTAATTTTGTATAGTTGATTCAATAAATTATTTTTTTTTCATGGAAATATATGCAAGTCTTATGGGGGATCTGTTGTGAGCACAAATGACAGCTAAATAGTCCACAACAAAAAAGAAAAAGAGCTACAGTAGCTGATATTTTGTTAAGGGCCAGTAAAATAACATGATGGGTTACAAATATACATTGCCTGGCCACTTTATTAGGTACACCTAGGCAATTGTATGTAAATCAATGCAACAGTTCCTCCTTATCATCTGTGTTTATGAAGCTCAAAATGTTTGTTTTTGGTGAAATTGTCAAATGTATAAATTGAATTGTGTTTATTGAGGTCATAGTTAAAGGTGGCGTTGTACTGGACTACATTATATTTGTGTCGTGCCCAGCTACATACATGACAGGGTCAAAATATTAGGAACACCTCAGAATATAATGTAGTCCAGTACGCCACCTTTAACTATGACCTCAATAATAAACACAATTCAATTTATATATTTGACAATCTTACCAAAAACAAACATTTTGAGCTTCATAAACACAGATGATAAGGAGGAACTGTTGTTTTGCATCCAATTGCACAGGTGCACCTAATAAAGTGACCAGTGAGTGTAACTCCAAAAGAAGAAACATTATACATCCCCTAAAGCATTATGGGAGTAATCACAAAATTTAAAGCATGAGAGACCTCAGAAACATGTGCAATACGAGAGACAAATTCCACAATTTCTTTTTTTGCCTCCCGTTAGATGATTTATTTATTTACAATAGGCTATCCCATCAACATAGGGGAAATTCCCAAAAGTGTGGGTGTACTGTATCATGGCATTAGGAGAAAACAGAAAGGCCCACGTTGACCTTTTACTAAAGTGGCTGCACTCTGTAAAATGCACAAAGCACTTTGCAGAGCTGATCCAGTGGTATTGGAGAAGTGTCACCTCTCATCTGTGCTGACACACTGACTGCTGGTTCAGGGAGAGGCTGAGGTGTTAGCTCTCCAGCTTTATTGTCTGGGGTATTGTTCGTGGCTTTCAGGTTGGTCGTGGTACTTTCTCTCCCCTCGCTGCTCCCCTTGTTCTAGGCGCTAAGTGGCTACTGAGGGGAGAGGAGGTGAATCATGCCTCTGAACCGTGTCTTCACCAATTGCCTTTGTGTGCTCCCTCCAGATGACCATGTTATCCTTATAATATATCAAGTTATAAGATTTATTCCAGGGCAGAATGAGACTTTCTAATCTTATTACCAGCTCTCCATTAGGATTTTTCCATCTGTAAACATCAATTTACTGTAAAGTCAGACATGAAAGCAGATCAGCAACATCCTGGACAGGCAGTGGAAACATAACTAGTCTGGCAGAGGATATAAAATTCTTGCAGTTTAAATGTCCTGTAAAAAAAAAAAAAACACCTCATCACGATTTAATTCAGTGATTATTAATTATTCATACTAACTGAAATGATTTTTAATCGGTTTCTCGCATGCAATTATGTGGCTGTGAAATGAAACCCTTTACACTTTGAGAGTGGTGAATGAAATTGGAAATTATGCAACTATTCCCTGTCCTCACGTTTCAGGCACAAAAATGGCCCTGAAGTTTTTGAGGAAAAAGTCCACCAAGCTGAAGAGCTTCCTGAGAGAGTACAGCATCTCCCTCTACCTGTCACCTTGCCCGTTCATCATCAACATGTATGGCATCGCCTTCGAAACGGACGAGTACTACATCTTTGCTCAAGAATACGCCTTAGCAGGAGATCTCTTTGACATCATTCCTCCCCAGGTGAGATGGGATGAGAAATACACCGCCCGTCCACTTTATTAGGTACAACTGTATGCAATTCAATGCAGCATTTCCACCTTAGTGGCTATGTTTATGTAGCTCAAAACGTTTATAACAATTTCACCAAAAACAAACGTATAAATTTAATTCTGTGTATTTAAGGTGGTGTTGCACTGGACTACATTATATTCAGAGGTATTCCTAATATTCTGACCCTCTCATGTATGTCAATGGGCAGGACAAAAATATGGACACCTCTAAATATAATGTAGTCCAGTACACCACCACCTTTAACTGTGACCTCAATCATAAACATATAATTGAATTTATTACTCTTTCACCAAAAGATGAACCATTTTGAGCTTCATAAACACAGATGTTAAGGTGGGAGTGTTTCATTGAATTGTACAGCCCTGACTATTAATGTGGCCGAGCAGTGTAGGTCTATAGAAGAATCTGGGTTTTGGGCACAAGTACACAAGCTAAGATTAGCATTTCAGGGTTCAGTGTTTCACTTGGCTGTTCATTTCACCTTGTCATCTTCACGCTGTAGTACGATACTACATTGCAGCTGTGGTTGCAAGAGACTTGCAAGTGCATTCACACATAAGGACTTAAAGTAGCATGGCTTTACAGCCAGGTCTCTTTCACACTGAATAGCAGTTGTTGCTGTTCTCTTTTTGAATCTGTGATGTGTGAATGGCTTGATGAACCTTTCAGCATATAGAAGCCAGTGCAGTTATATTTGTCCTTCTTCCTAAACCTAGTGTGGAGTTTCTCTTTACGTCAGTGGTATCTATATGTGACCTCACTGTGCTCTCTCTGCTCAGGTGGGACTCCCTGAGACAGTGGCAAAGCGCTGTGTCCACCAGGTGGCCATCGCTCTAGACTACCTGCACTGTAAGAAGCTGGTCCACAGGGACATCAAGCCCGAGAACATCCTCATCTTTGACAAAGAGTGTAGAAAGGTCAAGCTGTCAGACTTCGGCATGACACGACGTGCCGGGTCTCCAGTGAAGCGTGTCAGCGGTACAATCCCGTATACAGCGCCCGAGCTGTGCGACACCTCGCGGCAAGAGGGTTTCTTTGTAGACTACAGCACGGACGTGTGGGCATTCGGCGTGTTGCTCTTCTGCATGCTAACAGGAAACTTCCCCTGGGAGAAGGCCATGCTGAACGATGTCTTCTACGAAGAGTTTGTCCGCTGGCAGCGCCGCCGGACAGTCGCGGTGCCTTCGCAGTGGCGCCGCTTCACAGATGAAGCTCTACGAATGTTTCGCAGACTCCTCTCAATCGAGCAGGACCGCCGCTGCTGCGTCAAGGAAGTCTTTAGCCACTTCAGCCAGTGCTGGATGTTGGATGTGGAGAATGAGAACAGTAACAGCGGAGGTTTAGCAAGCACTGTTCCTCCTCTGGACATCAGCTTGTCCTCCTCTGAAGAGGACATGTTGGTGGACAGGCTGAAGCAGCAGAGCCTGTCACCTGCTTGTGTGGTGGCAAAGGGGAGCGTCCTGATGGATACCCACTACTCCTCCATGTCCACGAACAGCTCGCCGTCCTCCACCGGCAGCTATGAGCAGGTCAGCAGAGAAACCAGCGAAAGAGGACGCATCCTGGTGGCCACACCTATCGAGATCTGCGTGTAGAGGTTGCAAATGCTGATTTACAGGCCAGTTGCTCACACATGAGGCTGGAGTTTGCTGAAGGGCAAGATTTGTCAGTAAAACTGTGAGCAAGAGGAGAAAAGTGGCAGGTGGCTCACGGCATTAGTCTGATATTCATTATAGCTTCACTACGGATTTACTCATTTCTGATGAAGACAAACTGAGGAAACGGCCAGTGAGCCAATCACACACTGTAGCATCCTGTGTGTGTGGCTTATATTTCAGTTGCTGAAATATTTCAAGACATGAACTCCCTGACAACCTGTTAAGGAAACACTGAAGGTGTACAACCAAAAAATAATAATAATGCACAAGCATTATGCTTAAGTTTGAAATAATCCACTTCATAAATAAAGTCTGATGGGTTGTCCATAAAAGCAACCCATAGGTGTCTGTACTGTTGGATGTTTATTGTAGTTACCATTTTCACGTTTGGTAGATATGTTTTTTGTAAAGTTTTATTTTTATTTGGTTAAATTATTTGTCAGATGCATATATTTGATTGAAGTGGCACCAGAGGTCTGAAGACTGCATTTTTTCCTGAGAAATAGAAGTAAGATTACTTACATTTTGAATTAGTCTACATAAAAAAAAAAAAACTGTAAATGCAGGCCACTTTGGCTTTCAGTTTTTATGTTATGTTGTTGTTGTTGTGATGTCTTATAAAAGTAAATGTACATTCACCATTTTTCTCACCCAGAACTGTTTTCATTTTAGCCTGTGATGCCTAAACCCACCATATACTGTAGTAGCAATCAAAAATCCAAGCAGCTGAAAATGTACCTCCATTGTTGGCAGTAGGGGTTAATAAGGTTTCTTAACTTTCTAGCCAGACCTCCTATTAAACCGCTGTATACTGGGACCATTACTGAATACTGCTGCAGCACAGTTAACAATGGGAACATTTAAATGGCTTTAGAATCATTTTCAAGGTGATAAAGTGCAGATTTCCTCTTGTTTGTGATCATATACAATCATCAGTTTGGTAATCTGACAGTGAGGAGTAAAGGCATAAAAACATTTCTTTTTGCATGGTTAATAAAAGTGAAAATACCTTTAAACTAGCAGTTATCTAACATGTGGCCTACTTTGACTTTTTTTCTGAAAAAGACTAGATACAGAAGATATCCTAAATATATCTACTGAAATGTTTTTTTCAACATGAGAATAATAAATGCAGTATTGTATCTGGAGATAGAGCTGTCTCAATTTGTTCCACATTTTTGCTGTATGATTTCTTAGAAACTCATTAAATGTGAAATAGGGTAGACAAATGAGGGAAAACACAAGACTTGGGTTACAACATTTCAGAAGTCTCTCTTTTTTTCAGAATTATTGCATGAATATTTCTGTGGTGAAAATTTGATGAAATAAACACCCTGAGAATTAAAAGCATCTCTTCCTCTTTTTTTTTTTTTTTTTTTTTTTTACAAACCAACTAAAATAAAGTGCAATATAAAAATGGCGAAGCAGCTGGCCTGGCTCTGTCCAGTAGTATCAAGTCTTCATACCAGCAGCTCTAACACATCAATAGTTTAATCAGTGTAAAAAAACTGTTGTAAAGGGTAACTATACCCTCAAATTCAGCTCAAAACCTCAAGTTAAAAAAAAATGTTGCTGTTCATGAGCCCTAAACCTCTTGTTAAGGTATAAATTTATAAATACAGTCATGCTATCTGCAGAATCGGCTGCTACACCTCGGAGCCTCGCCTACAGTAGTGGAAGAAGTATTGAGATTGTTTTGTAAAAGTAGCAATACCATAGTGTAAAAATATTCTGTTGCGGGTCCAGCATTCAAAATGGTACTTTAGTAAAAGTACAAAAGTATTAGCTGAAAATATGAATTGCCAAAAGTAAAAGTACTCATTATGCAAAATGGCACAGTTTACATTGATGCACACCCTATAATCTTATAGTGTACATCACATTTAATGTTGCAGCTTTTAAAGATGGAACTAATTTTAACTACCTTATATATAATTTGCATTACTGCTGGATAGCTTGTGATTTTTACACCAAGAATCAATAAGACTTGCTTTATTTTTATTAACCTATTACTGAAAACTAGTAAAGTTATCAAATCAATGTAGTGAGTACATAGTATATTTTTCTATTAAATGTAGTGATGTTGAAGTAGCAGAAAATGGAAATACTCAAAGTACAAATACCTCAAAATTGTACTTAAGTACATTACTTGAATAAATGTACTTAGTTACTTTCCACCTCTGTTTGCCTGTTATGCAGGGGCCCACAGGTTCAAGGGGCCCCTGGTCTTCACCTGCAAAATATCCCAGAAAGATACAAAATGACTGAAATGAGACAAAACCACCACAACAAGAAGCTAGATGTCCGTACAGACCTACAGCAACTAGATCGCAAAGACATACAATTAACACAAAGAGCTGAAAAACCCACCACAACACTGCAAAACTCGGCTCTCCAAAACAAACATAAGCTAAATGGGGGGAAATATTATTTGAAATAATTAAAACAATCTGCTAATAGAACAAACATTTTACTTGCCAAGATTTTTAGAAACAAGTAAAAATATCTAGTCTTAAGATCTTAAGGCAGTTTTGTACTTGTCAGTGTTGATCAAACAGTTTAATAATAGTGGTAATTCTAATTTCAAGCATTAAGTTACTCAGAACCAGCAGTAAAGTCTCAGTAACAGCATCCGATTAAGATAATTAAAGCTTAAAACAAGTGAAATGTTCCAACATAAAAATTGCCTGGTAAGAAGAAAATATTTGGTCAAACAAACAAACAAACAAAAAAAAGCCAAGCATCTGTAAATGATCACAGATGTAAAAAGACAAAGAAAAAGATGAACACAAAACAATGCAAAAACACCACAGTGAGATGCAACATTTCTAAAAAGAGATGGAAAACTACTACAAAAAGATGCAAAACATCCACAGAGACAGAACTATGCAAAACCACTACCCCACCACCGGCAATATGCAAAAAGGCTACAGGACACACCTTCATCCTGACATATAAGAAGATACAGGAAAATACTGCTGCAGCATAAACCGACCAAATTTTGAGGGTAACCAAACAATGATTTGGCTGCACTCAGTTGATGAAATACAGTAACAAAGAGCGTTAAAAGGTTGTAAGTGGCTATTTCATGAGATGTGATTAGACAATTAAAGGCAGATTCAGAGCCACTTTTGGCAATGCTGCATCTAACCTTCAAGAGCAAAAGGCCTAATTCCCAAAGTGTTAAACTACTCATTTCACAATGCACACAAAAAAAAAACCCATGACAGAGCATCAAGAGTTGTTACTAGTGACAAGCGGAAACGTTTCCCTGTGTTTTGTTTAATATGATGTCTGTACTGTGCTATGGTCTAAGGAGACAAAACTACAGATATCATCCTCCCCAAACTGTTCGCTCAGTTCATTAAGAATGAAAAAAGGCAGAAATGGAGCTGAACTCATTTCTGTGAGAATGAAGTGTAAAACAGCTGTGAGGTGAAAAGACCGAAGCCAGCTTCTCATTTCAGTTGATCAAACAACAAATTTAAAGCCAAGAGGTCAACTCTTATCAAGTCATGCGTTCCTGCTCAGCATTTTTATACAAAACAATAAAAAGAGAAGAAAACCCAGGTTTAGGCTTTGTGTATGTCAGTCATGTAATTATGCCTCAATAAACTCACAATGCCCATGAAGCAGTAAAACCAATGATGCGTATTTCTGGCTCAGTTGTGATGAACTGCATCTGTCTCCAAAACCTCTTTGAAAGCTATGTTACATAACGCTCCCACCCAGGTAGCACCGATTTTAATGTTACAATTAAAAGTTATCCAGAGTAGATCAGCCAAGCTGTGGTTTAAAAAAAAAAAAACAAAACCAAGTGGACTGCTGCAGATGTGCATTTCACAAAGCATCTTTACAGACTGATAAGAGAGAAAGGTTAAATTAATCTTTCCAAAATCAGTCCAACAAAACAAACACAGCCTTCCTATACATGAGCAACCAAAGGGGAAAAAAAAAATCATCCAGGAGCAGCTGAGCTGGAGAGCAAATCATCATTCAACCCTGCCTGTTCAGCACAGCAATTACAGCTGGGCGCTGCACCCACTGATCTCAGTGTCTCCCACCACCATACTTACATTTTCAACACCAGCAAGTTGGCATTTAGATCAGGTTTGTCAAAGACTTTGTGAAATAAACTAAAGACAACAATAGAAAGATTGCATGCATTTACTGAAAACAGCTCAGCTTCTCTGCTAAATGTTCTACTGATTTGTTTCTATACTGTGCAACAAAACCCAGTTCAGCGTAGACAACTGCGGTCAAGTTATTTGCATCTTCGACTTGTATCACAGTAGCAGCATTTTGTGCTGAACCAGCTACAAAAGCAGCAGAGCTGTGCTGCAGAGATAGTGAGGAAGATTGTGATCGCAAAAGCCTGTCAAGTCCTAAAAAGAACTAAGTCTGCGGCCTGAGCGAGGGATGGTGGAGAGAAAGAGAAACACACTGAAACAGAACATAAGGAAGATAACATAAATGGTGAGAGGAGAACAATAAAAAGCAAAGAAAGGCAATATAAGAAGAGAAATAAAAACAGTGCGAGAAAGCAAAGGCTTTAGGTGCAGCTGCAGGCATAAACATCATAATAAGATGACGTCAGAAGGGCATGGGCCCATTTCAACTGCAAAATAAACCCAGACAGTTATTTGAGCAGCAGTAAAACCAGGACATCACAGCCTTGAAAGCAACCTTATGTTAACAAAACTAATCCTAGCACCTCACGAGACTGGTACAGCAGTGCTCTGAACTAACTGCTCTTTAGCAGGTATCATTTTTACCATCTTCATTTAGCAAGTTAGCATGCTAAATCAGCTAATCAGCACTCAACACAACGTACAGCTGAAGCTCATGGGAATGAAATGTATTTTTTTGTCATGGTAGCTGCGTATTGTTGGAGGTTTCTTCCGTTAAAGGGAGTTTTTCCTCCCCACTGTCACCAAGTGCTTGCTCAAGGGGGATTTGTTGGGTTTTCCCTCTGTAATAATAGTGATAACAGTAAGGTCTAGACCTTACTCTGTAAAGTGTCCTGAGATGACTTTTGTTGTGATTTGGCGCTATACAAATAAAATTTGATTGATTGATTATTAATTGAAGGCAATGTGCAGTTACTCTGTTAAATACCTCAGCGACTGGATCAACTGCCATGAAATCTGGCAAAGATGTTCATGGTGCCCAGAGGTTGAATCCTACTGATGTTGATGATCCCATGACTTTGTAATTTGTGTCACAATGAGGTTGACATTTCAGATTTTTAATGAAATACTTCAGGTGATCCTCAACTGTACTCCATTGTTAATGGATGAATGTTAGCATGCTAACACATCAAACTGAAATGGTAAAGATCCTGTTAGTTTTGTCATTGTGCTCCTAGGATAAGATGAGACTCTACTGATTGCTAGAGGGGAGCTTCCTTTTTTTAATACAGTCAACAGATAAACTATTTAGCATAATAACAAAACCAAAAGATTTAAATTAAGTAAATGATACTGAAGAGCTCTATATACATTACAGTACTTATATGTGACATGACTTGAGCGCTGTGGAGCTGAAGTGACACACCAGCACCTGTAACATGCTCCACCACAACGCTGCATTCAAAGATGCTCTCTGCCACGGTAACAGCATTCACATGCTCACATTGTCTCTAGCTGCCAGACTGTTTCAGCAGGTGAAAGTGAGTTTATTCTGAGTTCAACAAGGCGGTACAGAGAGGTGACAAACGCATATTCTGCAGGCTGCCACGGGGCAGCCTGATAATGGTATGACGGTGCAGAGCTGTAAAATGTCTCCAAAAAGAGATCCATTACCACATGTTGGAATGAAGGCTACCTAAATGACTAAAAAGCAAGAGCTCAGGGTAAAAGTCTGTTCTGACGAAAGAAGTACACAGATATTAACCATTCTACATTAGTAATACAACAACATGCTGCCCACGTGTTGAGCTGTTTGGTTACTTTGGTAAAAAAAAATAAAAGATAAAATTGGCTTTTAACCACATCAGTCTGATTGGCCAGCCACTGCTCATGTGAGGCTAACATGTGTAATACATCCATTTTTTAAGATAAGAGGAGACTCACTCAAACTCCAACATACTGGATTTTTCTAACATGCAACCTCCTGATCACAAGTTTGTGATCCTCCTCCAATGTTTGATTCTTCTTTGTCATTCTGCCCATTTTTAGAGCCTAGCTGCACTGAAAATATTGTTTTCACCCAAACCTGGCACATATTTTCACTTGTTTGGGAAGAGAATGTAAACACTTTGAGAAGAAATCCCTTCAGATGGTTGGTGATGTGCCAAAACCCGGACACGGTATCTTCCTTGCAGCAAAAACATGCTGTTCCTGTGTAGGAGCAGTAAAGATTTTGCAAAACAACATCTACTGAGCTTTCTAAGCTTTGCAAAACAACACTGTGAAAGATTCACTGGAAATGTTACCATTTCTAAATCTACTTTTCTATGTCAAGAGAAAGACAGGGCTTCAGTTTTAGTGACTTTTATTAAATAACATTAATAATTATCTTTTTATTCCTCAAATAATAGAAAGTGCAGGCATGGGATCAAACTGACAATTTAGTTAAAACCCTCTCTTTCTAAACAGTGTGCGTCTGTCATCTGTCAGTCCAGTAACGATTTGTGAGAACTGAAACACAAGGGATTATACAAAGATGGATGGTTAAAGCTGCACTAGGCAACTTCAGTTCCACATGGAACCATGAGACGACAAATACATTAAAGGGAGAATTCACCCAAAACACAAAAATATTTACCAATTTATACCAGTTTTATTAACCTATTTATTTCTTCTTAGTTGTATTTGTAAGCATTATCCACTGTTATACTGACACTTTTCAAAAAATGAAAATGGAAATTTTAATTGCTGCCGATTGCTGTAGTTTGTACTCATTTTAGGAGTCAAAACTGATTTGAGGTGCACACTTTCCAAAGATACTATCACAAATTATAGTCCATAAATTTGGTTACAAATCATGGGAAAAAGATGCTCCCCATAACTGCAGAACTTGAGTTTGATTCTTCAGTATCAAAGTAACCCAGTGACAGCTTGTCTGTACACCCGTGGTACAAAGCGAACAGGAATTTCTAATAGCAAATTTGGCACAACCTCCGCAAATTAAATCATTAAGGCTACAGTAAAGATTATTTTTTATCCCTGATTAAGTTTATTATTTTCTCAAATACTCAATATCAAAAATGTCCATCACATTTTCTCAGACCCCAAAGTGACATTCAGATTTGTTTGTCTCCCAGTTCTCACATTTGAGAAACTGGAGTCAGTATTTTTGTTGGGCAAGAAAAAAAAAACTACTTAAAAACTGCTGATGCTAACTATCTGACAACCTTCTGGTTATTATTTGCACTACTGTCACTGATTTAGTTAACATTTAGATTTATCCTAATTAATTTAGTTTTCTTATTCTATTTTATTCCATTTTTATTCTACCCCATTTTTATTCCATTATAGTTTCTTAAATTGTACGGCATTCAATACTTGGTGAGAGAGAAACGGTATTTTGATTTTCTGTATGTCCTGCACATATAGTGAACTGACAATAAAAATCTTTTATCTTTGATATAAATGCACATCCAAATAATTTTCTGTGGATCAACTGCGGCTCTAAAAACCCAAACTATCTGAGTTAGAGTACTTGGGGTGATTTTTTTGTGATTTGGCTGGACTGAATTTACCAGTTCAGCCACAAAACATAATTCGGAAACATGGGTCTTTTTCAACTCTCACTGCTGTTAATGAGGTATTTCATTCTGTTTACCAAATCTCTGTTTCCACATGAGCGAGCCATCTAATCCAGAAATAGAAATAAAAATAAGATTAATAGGAATACATTATGTTAAATACAGTAAATGTACAGTTTGTGTTCTCAATTTCTGTGAATGGGATATTCTCTTTTGCAGACCTACTTTGTGAGTTAGAGAAAAAGTCAATAAATTATATATAAATTTTGCTTAGTGCAGCTTTAAGTTTAAATAATTTTAGTACAAAGAGAAGAAACAAGTCTAGAAATAGACAAACAGCAATTAAAAATGATCCTATAAACTCACTGTAGAAAACATCAACTGTGCATGCATCTTATGAGAATAAATAATGTCAGTTATGTGATGACTGAAGCATTAACTGTAATAGAAAAGTAGTATAAAAACTGTAAAAGGAAAAAAGTGGCCTCACAGTATATAAAGATATTATGTTCTATACCACAAATTAATTAAACTCCTTTAATTGTAATTAATCATTATGCTCAAATAATAAACTGTATTTATGATGTGGTAAGCCCAAGTGTGGCTCTCCAAGAAAAACAATAAATACACTTACACACACGCGCGCGCACACACACACACACACCTACACACATACAAACACCTTGGCTCAGTCCAATTGGTGCAACTGCCTGTGTTAAGACCTATGAAAGGAAGGAAATAAACGGAAACAAAAGACTCATCTTATAAAAATCCTAAAGTGACCCCTGGTTTGAGCCATGTCATAGCAAGTGAAATCTTACCAGAAGGTTTGCCTTCTGCTCAAGCACACACATTAATTAGTGTTATAAGACAGCAGAAGTGAAGTCAGGCAGCTCACGTCGCACCCTGAGGAGATCTGTGGACCATTCTGGGACAAATGACACAAATTACATTAAAGATGAACAAGTGCATTTGTGCATATAAAGTCATCTTAGACTTATGCATTTATCCACCATTGAGCCAAAACATTATGGTCACTCACAGATGTAGTGAATAACATTGATTATCTTGAATTAATGGTGTGTTAGTTCCATCTCGCGACTTACAGGAGTTATTAAATAATCTGCTGCTAATGTCAAGGCACCAGATACCAGGGCACCTTCAGAGGTCTTGAAGAGTCTGTGCCTCGGTGGGTCAGAGCTGCTTTGTCAACACCTGAACCACTGACAGTGTATTGGGCAGAGGTGGTCATAACATTTTGGCTCAGCAATGCAAGTGTTCTGTGTATTGAACTATACCCTTTTAAAGTACTAGTCTGACATTTAGGGTAATAGGCTTATTTGCTTTCTTGCCAAGAGTTACATGAGAAGACTGACAGCACTCTCACACCAGATGGCTAGCTTAGCTTAGCTTAGCTTAGCGCAAAGGAACCTGCTAACCTAGCTTTGCCCAACTGTACCAAAAGTCCACCTACCTGCCCCTTTAAAGAGCCCATGGCATGCTCATTTCCAGCTATTTAATGTTTAATCTTGGGTATCCTAGATTAGCTTTGCACCTGTCATAATTCCAAATAGTCTAATTATTTGAGAACCATAAAGCCCAGTATCAGAAGGACAGCCTCCTCCTGAAAACAAGAGGATAGTTCCTAAATGTGCATAACTCCACTCCTGTTGCCGGTCAGGAAGCTATGACAATGCATAAACAAAAATGCTTTAACAAATAATCTACCTTTTTTGACTACGACAATACCTCAACTCCTACTTTGCATGTTTGAGCCAGAATATGAAAGTGGACAGCACAATAAAACACAATTAATTTAAATTTCTCCTCCACTGATAGGTAAACAACGGTATATGTAGTGATGAGAAGAGATGCGTAACACTTTAAACAAAGCAGGTAATTGAGAAACCTAATATTTTAACTGGCTTAATGCAGACATATTAACTTCTCCAGCGTTACAACAATACTCTACAGAAACAATGCAATAACAGACATGCAACTAGTTTTTTTTTTATTTACCCTTATGTCCCACCGAGCAGTGGAAACGTCACTCCCGTTTCAAGTAGCACACCACACCACATTAGACCGGGCCAGGTAAAACATCAAGTTCCTGTGCAGGAACATTCCTGGACATGCAGTAACCTCGTGCGTTATTTTTCTCCACATTCTCTGGTCACAGTGCGGCAGCAGGAGGTAAAATATATCCACAAAACCGTGTGCAGTCGAAATGCCACTGGTGGATGTCAGGCAAGCTCACATGAATGTGCACAGGCTGGAGAATATGACTTAAGGAAATCCATGAACTTTTGCCTAAGACTTTACATAGTTAGAAAAAAAGTCTCGCAAGCAAGAGTTTCAGTCCCTTTTAAGGTGATAAAACACTGAAGATAAGTCAGAAAACAGAAAAGCATGCTATGGGCTCTTTAAACCTTACTAAGAGGATTTGATTTGAAAGTGGTAACAATATTCTCATTAACTCTCATCAAGAAAATGTATTTCAAGTGATGGGCAGATGAAGCCTTATGAAGTTTTAGGCTTTCTTTATTTTTGTGGCAAGAAAAAAAAAAAGATTTGAAGCTTTGCAGCTTCAAACAAGGCAAGTACAGTGGCGTGGTTGTTTTCAAAACTTACAGCAGCCATTAAAGTGTGGGTCCAAATCACTACAACACCTCACTGATTTACCTGTTTTACTCTTGTGTGTAATAAGACTCCAAGAAGAATGTTTAATATTTATGTAACATTTGTTTTATTTTATATTCGGAGAAGGACACTGGAGGATTTACTAGGCTGTATGTGGGGAAAACATGGAAAGCTTTAGCTGAACACATGCTTCTATTTCAAAGGTGCAAAAAAGTCATCCATGGCACCCTGGCTCCTTAGAAACACTGTAATACACTAGCATAGCTTAACACAAAACAAGTTGTTGAGAAAAAGAGTTATTAAAATGAAGGCAGGGCTCTACACTAACACTTATTTGTTGTGACTGTATGAAAAAAACTATTTACTATTCAAAATTATTTATCCAACCTGAACTGAGCGCTGAATTAAAATTATAATTCTGCCAAAATTATATATAAATCTAGAATTAGGCCTACGGCGTTGCGGTTGTACACCTACACCTACCAGTCAAATTCACAGGAATGGGACAGATGTGAGGTCACTGACCTTGAGCTTTGACCACCAAAATGTAATCGGTTCATCCTTGAGTTCACAAAGGTTTGTGGCTAAATTGAAGAAATTCTTTTAAGACGTTTCTGAGATACTGCGTTCAAAAGAACGGGACAGACGTGAGGTATCCGTGACCTTACAACATCAAAATCTACTCAGTTCAGCCTTGAGTCAAAGTGGACACTTGTGCCAAATTGGAAGAAATTCCCCCAAGGTGGTCCTGGCATATCACGTTCACAAGAATGGGCTAGACATATAGACGGGCAACCTGAAAACATAATGCCTCTGGCCACATCTATCAAATTCTGTAGGATGAGTAGAGAGGTTTGACAGGCAGCCTAGGTAATGTTATAAGGCTCAACTTAATTCATTCTCAAAAGAAATACTTGTACCAAAGATGCTCAGTATACATTGTAAAAATAAATGTACTTGCATATACTGTAGCAGTTGAAAATATAAACTATGTTTCAACACATTAACAGCCTACTGACTTTGGGGCACCTTATTTTCTAATATGTACTTGCTTCGAATACTGAAGGTCCAAATTCAGAGCTAAAAGTTGATCGGCTTGATTAATGGCTTACGCATCACTCTGACTGTTAACCCAGGATGACGCTGATGTACTTCGGCATTACAAATGTGTAAATTCGCCCACTCTGTTTCTGTGTTTTTTCAGGTTTTAATGGCGGTTGACACTCCTACACATTGTCTTCGGGTATCATCTGCCCATCTCTATGTATTTCCCAATACGTCTAACTTTTTAAAATTCCTTTAAATGATAAATATTACATACCTCCAGTGCCTCTTCATGTCTTTCACGTCATCTCTTGTGTTGTCTGGTTACACTTGTGAACGACTTGTTCTGTAGGAATAAAAAACAAATCAGCTGGAAATCAACAGACTTACAAATTAATTCCACCAAAGCAAGATGTGGTGTGAAAAGAATCTGTTAAATGCAAAAATGTTAATCTGATCATCTGCTAAATATAAATTAAATCTGTGGGTGCAGTTTGTAATGACAAAGACATAATACTTGTACATACTACCCAGTGAAATGTAGTGAACATTGCATGCTATACATGATCACATTTTCAAATGCAAGCAAAAGTGACCCTTTAGAACAGAGGTAATACACTATATGGTCAAGGGTTTGTAGACATCCAAGCATTACAGCCATATGTATTAAGTGAACTTGTCATTTTTAACCCATGGACTTTGATCTGTTGGTTTAACAGGCTCCTTTGCTTGGGTTGCATTCTTTCCACCAGATCTTGAACCTGGCTGTTGCCATTTGTCTCTTTCCACAAAGATGAGAGCAAAGTACTGTGTCCTACCCAGGCAGGTAGCAAAACTACAAAAGCAGTAAGTTGATGCAAAAACATATAACATTTTCAGGGTGGCTGTCAAACAGGGTACAAGACTGTAATATGTTTCTAAGCCTGAGTATTTATCTAAAAAATATTGCTATAGAACCTACAGTGCTAAATACCCCCAGTGAGTAGCAGTAGTAATGGTACTGGGCCAAAATACTGTACATTGTGGATCTCCTTGAAGAATACAACCCCAGTAGGGCTCTGGGATCCTTAGGAAGCACTCAGATGACAGAACCTTGGGGCAGAACCAAAACAGATGGAACCAACTTCCTGATGACCTTAAATGTGCCCCAACTCTGCCACTGTCACGTCTCAACTGAAAACTCTGCTGTTTCTTTCACGCTTTTGACTGACTGGCTCCTATGCTGGACTTTCTGCTCTGTAACTGCTAGATAAGCATGTTTCAGACCTTTTACATTATCTATTTGTTTTTAAATTTCATTTTAGGTGTCAGTCCTAAGTGGACTGGAGGAGATACATACTTTTGGCTATGTGGTGCACTTTCTCACTTAACACTTCCACAAAGACCACTATTTATGTTTTAAAATGAATTTTCTATGCACTGCAACAGGCTAAAAGCACTTTCACACTACTTGGCCATTTACCCATTTGCACTCCCAAACACATTCACACACCGGTGTCATCACCAGGAGCAACTGGGGGTTCAGTGTCTTGCTCAAGGACACTTCGACATGTTGACTGGACAAGCTGGGAATCGAACTGCTAATCCTCCTATTAGGAGATGACCCGCTCTACCTCCTGAGCTACAGCCGCCCCCACTGTACCGGTGCTCTTCTTACTTTGTTGCCTGTTTTGTTTCTATACAAACAATTGTCTTCACACTTTATATTTTCTCTGTTCCTTTCACACACAGTACTAAATTTGAACACTAACGTTTCCAATACTAAAGCTCTTACATAGTCAGTATGTAGGATGAAGTATCTGGAAATAATACAATGGCATAAAAGCTACGCTAGTGACCCCCAGAGGCCATGCAGCTCCTTACACTCTAATACAAGTCTCAAACCAAACAACAAAGAAACTTTATAGCCTGTCTCTCACTATCAGGGTTAAAACTGAATTCTGTGTTTACCTTGTGCTCCGGACATCTCATTGAAAAGTTCTCTTCATTGAGGACACAGCCTGAAAACACACACAAAAAGCTATTTAGAAAGATTTGTCATTTTAGGATGAAATGGCAGCCTTCCCACATGTACTGTAAGAAAAGCACAAGTGACATGAGCTTGCACCCTGGAAAGATCTCTGTCTTGCAATATCATTTTCACATCCCGAGTTAACACAGACAAGCAAAGCTTTTGTGAATACAAAACCATGACATCAAATAATTATATTTACAAGCTTACCAACTCTACAAGGTAACAGTTTAACTATTAATTCTGGCACAAATCTTACACTGTACCTGACTGAATGGCACATCTGTAGTGATAATTTCTGGGACAGCCCTTCTGGAAGCAACCCAGTATTGCACCTGTCTGGTAGCATGCTGCGCACACCTGAGAGGGAGAACCACACAGTGAAAAAAGACAAATATGGCTTTTTTGTGTAACCACAATAGGGTCATACAGCATACATTGGCGATGCACAACATTACAACCCCTCCTGCCTAATACTCTGCTGGTTCCTCACATGCCACCAAAACAACTCTGACCCGCTGAGGCATGGACAAGACCTCTGAAGGTGCCCTGGCAGTGGATCTTTTCAATCCTGTGCAGCATGCAACATCTGGCGAGCAGCTTGAGAGAGGCTCGCACTTGTCTACACCGGGCGCATTTTCACTTGCACACCAGAAGAGCTTAGTGTACATAGAGGAGGCTACAGAAACGCATTTGAAAAGGGCAAACTACAGTACAAAACTATGGCAAATAGCAATGAGAAAATTACTGCTTACACCGTACAATGTGTCCCACCCATGGTGAAATACAGCAAATAAAACTAGATACACTTTTAAAAGAACTGCATGTTTGGTAGGACTGATGTAACATGATAAATCATGTGTTTTAACTGTGTTTACATGATGTATTTCTCTATTTTGTGGCATTCTGGTTGGAACTGGTGAGCTTTCACTGTTTGTGGATTCTGTAGAGCGTTTTTACGCACGTATATCATATTATTATTATTACTATTACTATTTTGATAACTGAATAGTGGTTTCAATCTCTTCTTAAGCAGCTTAAGTTCCAGCTTCTTAAAGGCAAAGATTTGATCCTTTGTGGGCAACAATTTTTTTGTCAATTTATTGGCAAAACAGTTACTTGAGAGAAAATAATCTGCTGATTAACTGATCATGAAAACAATCATTAGTTGTAGCTCTACAGAGAAACGTAGGTTTGTGTCACTCACTGTTTGTTGTGCAAGCCGGGCGGCCTCCTCTAACCCATACAGCTTCCCTCTGACTAGAAATACACCGGCAGACCAGATACCGCAGTCCTCGTGGATCCAGCACTCATCCAGATGAAGAGGCACCTTGGGGAGGGAGTAGTTGTTGCTCTCACACAAACTTTTGACAGCTGCATGTTCATTACTATCACAACAACCATCTGAGGAATTTACTGAATGACTATTAGCGAGTATATTTTCGTTCTCTTCTTCCTTCTGCTCAGCCCTGCAGTTCTGCCAGTCCACAGACAGGTTGGTAGGATAGTACGGGCCGTGAAGGTCCCCGAGGCCCATGGCGTTGGCTGTCTGACTGCACAGGCAGCACAACAATGTGGTCTGAGGCATTCTCTCTGAGCTGAGTCGTCCTAGTTGGAAGCAGGATGTATTGGGAACAAATCCAGACAGAGAGGTGACAGCTGACTGCTGCTGTCCTCTGCTGCTCCATACTGTCACCTCCTCCTCCTGACAGTTGACAATGGTGCACATCCTCTGCTCCATGTGAACAAAGGGACAGAAGCTGTCTGATTTCTTGTCCTTTTTCTCCACTTTAATGTTTGCATATTTAAGCTTGATTTCCGGCTCTCTGGGAGAAAACAGAGCAGAAGGTCCAGTCTGAGTTCGCCTTTTCTTCCTTCGTCTTGTGATAGTTTTTCTGTTTGCTGACACATTCCTGCACGGCGAGGCCCTTTGATGTGCTATGCTGTTCTTTTGTTTCTGTTCAGTTCTTCTCAACTTTTTGGTTTTACAAATGGTAAGTGGCTTCTTTCGCTTATGATTAATGCTTTTTGCGTATGAAGCTTTGTGGCAGGGCTGCTTCTCTCCATGCGGCGATTTCCCCTCTGTCCGAACATCTATATCCGACTCTTCTGAATTACTGCTCACTTTCTGTGGCTGCAGGAGGGTCTCCTCTGTCTCTGAGCTGGACAACCTCATCACATACTCCATAATATCATCAGAATCACAACTTTCATTGTAGATACCCACCGCATCGTTTTTGACCCGTCTCCTCAAACTGTGCCGAGACACACTGGAGGTGAACTGAGGCATTTCAGCGACTGATTTTCTGATTCTGGTACTACGTCGGACTTCTCTGGGTGGAGGTTTTCCACTCTCACTGTGAGGGGGTTTCCTCACCTGATGCTTCTTAGGAACATTCTTCTTGTGAGGAAAACTGTGGCTTTTCTTCTTTTCATTAGTGACTGAAACTTCAACAATGTCGCTGTCATCACTGGAAATATCCACGGGGGATTCAGCAGGGCTGCCATAAACAGCCCTAAGGTCTGACAGGAGGACTACAGGCCTGGCGTGATGAACAGGAATGTCCACTGAGCTGTCTGAGGAGTCTTCTGAATATGAACTGTCAGGACTAGGTGAGCTCAGAGGTTGAGGTAGGTGACAGCAACCTCTCCCTTCATCCAGTGAGGACACAGTCGGAGACAAAGGCTCCACAATGTGCCTAACACTGTCTTGGATGAAGGAACTGCATAAGAGTGGCTCTTTCGCTGAAGAAACGAGGAAAATAACATCGGAGCCACTGTCGCTTTCTTCTCCGCCACTGCTTTCAGGAACTGGGCCACTGCTTTGGTCAGGCACATAGAAACCCCGATGCCACAGGTTGCTGTGAACTCCATCATGGTACAGATCCAGCCCTGGAGCGAGTGTTGAATTCATATAGTTACCTAAAGCATCAGTGCCCTGCTCCATGTCTCTGCAGTGGACAGGTGCTCCTGGCTGTGTGGAAAGAGAGTTGTATGAAGACGAGGCTCTGGGTCTGTACGAAGAGGTGAAGTCTGTGCTGCAGCTAGGTGGACGTCGGTGGTACCATTCAGGTTTCTTTGCCAGATCCATGGCTTCAGTGTGGCTGCAGGTCAGGGGGTTGTAGCTCTTTGACAGGTCCATAGCCATCAGAGACGAATCCTTAGGAGACACTTCCATCACTGCAAAACACACATATTAATAATAGGATTCTTGACTTTTACTGAAAAATAGCGTGATCTTTAGAGCGATAACAGGGTTTCTGCAAGGTTCATAAACTTTGTAGGATATTTATACTCCAACACAGAATATAATTTAAAACCTCCAACCCGATCACACTATTCGCACTATGAAATAGTAAAAACCCATGTGGACAAAAGTGCTTTAAATTATCATAGCACTTACTACAAGGCATGTTTTTCATATAACTGTTTCAATCTTTTTTCCCCTCACTGTAAATCTCTTAAAAACAGGGCAAAATAAAAAAGGTTGTTAAAAAAGAAAACTGCAGACTGACTGTAGAAGGGAGCATATAACATGTCATGTGACCTGCTGGCTGCAGTTTTTGTTCAAGCGTAAAGGTCACATATGGGTAACCAGGGTACTTGTATTCCATAAACATCATAATATTACACACACTGAAATCAGGGTATGGATAATAGTGTGTCCTCAGCTTCAGTCATGCAGTCAGTGGTAGATCCAAGTAGTCAGTTATAGTAGGTTTAGCAAAAAACAGATCATACACAACGATGTACACTATAAAACTAAAATATTATCATTGATGTCTACACATTTTGTGCCTATGTTTTGCAGGTGAACACACCTCTGATTTACTTTACCTTGGCATTTTGATGTTAACATTATTTGTCAGTGTCTAAATTCTGTCCGGTTATTCCTGCCTGAATCACACTGACAACTTCTCTTTAAGGATATTATAGGAAACGTACATTTTATATCTTCATATACCATAAAGACTAGCTGGGACAGCACAGATAAAATAATCATCATAACATCTGCTCCTCAGTGCAAAAATGACAGAGACCGTGGCATCAGACTGCACATGTGAACAGTAACCTGGACAATGCTAGACTCACACTGGGATATGAATAACCAGGTAATGCTATATATGATATTCTGACATATATTTAGGACATAACTCAGAAATGGAATAAGGTTCAATTCGTTATAAAATCATCATTAAACATTAGAACGACCAGGAAATAAAATGTGCATCTGAGGCACTGTCAAAATGAAAGACTTCGCCTGCCCTCTCTTTAGCTAAAAAGAAAAAAAAACCTCATTATTTTCTTTCAGAAAATGGTGATTAAAATAGCTTATTTTTTCGACTAACGATTAGCTCTACCTCAAACAGGTTGGCCCGTTCAGATATCAATCATGAGCAATGTAAAATGTAAAGCAATCTGCTTGTATATAATGACATGTTGAACACATTTAACTTACAGTGTCCTTAAAAGTTAAAACTGCAGGTGTTCTTACTCATCAGGTGGCAGCGGTTTTGATGGATGTCGCCGGCCTTTAGGACGTCACTATTTCCCTGAAACATCTCTGGTAGCGGGGTTAGCTAACACACCTATCCAGGCCCATCATCATTAGGACTGGATGTAAACAAAAGCAGCAACAGTCCCGGTTCATGCTAGCTACGTAGCTAGCGTTATCCCGCTAAGCTATTTCCAAACACAGACGACATTCGACGCAAGGACGACTGATAAACATTTCTGCTAAAATAACATTAGCAGGTAATTCCAAGGCCGTGACTACTGTTGGTATTTTAATGTTGTCATCATGGATACCTTCTATCTCCAGAGTCAAGGTACACTAAAATAACATGGACGACACCGGAAAAAATTGTGAGCCTTCAAAGTAAAAGCTGAATGATGTTAGCTAATAAGTGCTGTCGCTAAACTTGAGCCCGAATAATACCAGTTTATGTCTAGTTATACACGTTCCGCTTCAGACCATTGCAGCTCTTAACACGAAACTACAAGGTGATCCGAAGTTTTTCTAATAGCTAGTATAATATTAAACCTGGAATTGTGTATAGGCCTAATGGCTCTATAGTACTATATAATAAGTCAGTATAGCGCCACGGCAGTACTGGATTAACTTTACCCAGAACATGTGGGTAAAATCACCCAAGACTCTTTGTAGCACATTTTAAAACAAACATGTCAGTATTAGTTATTTATTGCTGTTATAGTTAATGAAACTTATTTTATATAGATTAAAATTTTGTTTTTGTACAACTACAAAAATAATTTAGTTTGATGTATCTGTCTATATAGGCTATTTGGCCCAGTGTGCGTAAATAATCCAACAATAATAGACCATAAGATACCAGTTTAACTTTAACAACACACAAATTGGGTCAATTTTAAGTCGACTTGTCATTGTTATTTGTGCTTCGTACAACTGTAATCCAGATTTAAAATTTGTGTTTATTTTGTTGTTATTCTAGTTTTATTATTTTTCAGTGTTTATTTTTTATTCTTTACATGACACTCGAACATGTAACAGCATTAGTACTCTACATGCTCGCAACCATTGCCATATTTGCGTTGTATCAAATTTTATTTTGAAACAATTTTCGGAAGTTGCCTTTATTTTTCAGGATAACTCGACAGTCTTGTTCCTCCAGGAACAGGAGCTGAATATTGTCCAATATAGCCTGAATATACTTTTGCTGCACCTTCCAAGAAATCAGAAAAACGCAACTCTAATAGTTGTGCTAGTTAGCTTTCCATGTACAAACTAATACTGAATTTTCTTATTTTGCTGGGTATGAAAAAATAAAAATATTAAAGCAATGCCCTAAATAACAACCTGGCAACCCTGCAGACATCTGAGGCATGATGAAAGACAAGAGAGCCAGTATATATCTGATCCTTTAATTTCATTTAATAAAAATAATCAATTTATATTAATAACACTACAGTGTCATTTTGTGTATGACAGGTTTATGTGTCAGTAACATTACCTGCCAGAAATGAGTTTAATTTAAAATATTTCTTAAAAATGCAGCA